CATATCGACCGTTTTCTGAAAAGAAAAGTTAATTATTTTATTTTAATCAGTACTCGTAATAGGAGAAGAAATTTAGAGAGTCAGATAAGACAGGGTGGAAAAAGCGCTAGATATATAAAACAAAGGGTAGTGCATGGTCGGGTCATTTTTTTAAGAAATAAATTCGAAAAAGAAAAACCTATATTGTATGATTACGGTACGGTTCTGCAGGGGTGTAAAACGGGTACGGTGAGGGCTGCAGCGAAAAAACATTTTACCTTCTATTGAAATTACTTTTGTTCAATTTTATTTATATTTTTGAAACCTATTATCGAAAAATTTCTCTTGCAATGTATTGTTGCGATAAAACTCGACTGTAATAGGTATTCAAATTGTCAGGACTTCATATTTTCTATAACAGTGAAGCTATTCTATTGATCTGATACGAAGTACTGATACATCAAACTGTTTTAGGATGTTACCCAGGAACACTATGCAGAGGTATTTTAAAATGACTTGGGCCGCGAAATGCCCAAAGGGCGGACTCATATTGTACACTTCAAAAATATTGATTCGACTGTTAGTCATGCCCTTCGCCTTACGACCAATGTTTTTGGTGAGAAGAGTAACCCGAGGTCACGACCCACGAGATTCTAAGCTACCTCTACTTGTTGCCGTTAAACAGAGTAGTGAGTGCCACCTGTCGAGATTTGCTACAAATTATGTTGTCCGTTACGTTTTAAATATTGTATGCAACAAAAGTATTGACATAACGAATGTAGCTAACCTTGTTGTAATGAAGACTGTCCCAAATTAAAATGAACGTTCCTCTGGGATTCCACGAAACTTTAACGTATATAGCTCTTAGTATTTTACGAAAATCTTCATAGGATCTACCGATTATAAGATAATCTTCGTATGCATGATAAGTTTCTGGTACTGTACAGCGCAGATGTTCAATTCCAACGTTCTGTTCTGTACTACACGAAAGCATTTCGGTGAAAACATCCTTATTAACTTCCTCTTGTATTATTGACCTTATAAAATGAGGAATTTCAACTTTCATAAGGTCGTGAAGGTAGTCGGGCACCTCCATCTTATTACTGGTCAAAATAACCAAAGCTTTATTTGGACTCTTCTCAATTAACTTAGTTATTGTGTTGCTGAAGAGTTTATTTTCGTCAGTAAAACATTTCCAAGAGTGTTCACCAATAAATAGAGATGCATTTGAACGATAAGCTGACAAAAGCAACAGACAACCCAACGTGAAACAGTTGCTACGCATCGTAACAGCGTTAAAATTTCTTTGACGATTTTCTAGTCACTCATCAAACCTTTGTATGTTAAGCTATAGTTGATGATCAAAATACTTATTTAGCCATTAGAAATAAATCAACTGACTACTTACATGTTCTTGTCCTAACGATAAGTGATAAATTACTACTTTTACCTATTTATGTATTGTATGATAGATATCAAAACTAATACTATTAATTTCATTTATAGTACTTATCTTTCAGGGAAAAAATGCTTCTAATAAGTATCGATTTAATATTAACTTGTTTATAATGTTTCCGAAAAAGGCTAAAGCTAACAAATTTGTGAAGGTGAACATATACAGAGTGTTTTGTTTTAACATATTTAGAAAAGGGACGCAAAAAATTCTAATGAAACCAATTATCTACAAAATTTTCTTCAATAAAGAAATTAATAACACAAAGTAGGACAGACGTTAATAAAGTATAAGAAATGTCTTGATACGATCGAGATAATGACAAAGACATACATTTAATGATAAGTACCTAATAACTAGTTCAATATGCATACCTACCTAATACTTTTTGCACATGATTGACATAGGTATTAGCGACTTAAAACTTTAAATCGGCGTTCGAGTACCTTTATTAATCGGACACGTAATTAAAACTTGAACATTGGTGGAATATTGAAAGTTTCAAACTTTTCATCCGGAATCCATTTAAATTTGCCACCTCTGCTTCATGCTTTTTCCGAAACTTCAAGGAAAAATGTCCCTGTGCTATTTCAGTATTAAGTCAAAGTTTACCACGACGAAATTAAGAAAAAATCAGGTGTTTAACATCAAGCCTAATACGACCCAAAACATTTTCACGTACATTAAGAGGGTGGATTAAGGCTATATCGTTGCGATGTAACGTTTTATTTAAAGGTAATTTCTTAATAACAACCCTCGTACTTAATATAAATAATAATTTATTATTCAGTTTTAAAAGTCGAACAATTTAATTATGGTAACATAAGTTTTACATGAAGTCCGTCAGTTGGTAAATGTCAGTCTTGAATTTAGTATCTTTGCTAATTCTCTACGAGATTTTTTTCGCGAAAATGTTTATTTAGGTAATATCAAAAACATTTCATCAAAAGAAACTGCTACGTGGATGTTATTAGCAAATAACTGTTTCAAAAATGGTCTTTATCGTTTTTACGATAAATGTAATAGTTTTGTAATAAATAATAATAATAAAACGATGAACAGAATACCAGATTGAACGTCTAAATTGCTTCATCCTCAAAGATTATTGCAAAACTATAATTAAAAATTGTGCAATAACTACTTATTTAGTATCATGAGTCTTGTGCAAAAATGATTTTTAAGATTGCATATAGTAAACATAAATTTTTGTACTAGGTGTTGATAAAAGAAAAAAATGGGTGTTTTCTAAGTGTTAATGCTAAACTTTTTGCATATTATTAATATATAAAAAGGTAATTGTAATCTATTTATTTTTACCGACATCTACTAATAATTATTATAATTTATGAAAATATAATTAGATCAAAACCAAAAATTGGATTTC